CTCACATTCCTTAGAGGTGGGCTGGTGGGTCAGTTGTTGCCGGACTCCGAGGGCTCAGCCTGTCGAGTGTTGGCTTGGCTGAGGGCTGGCAGCTCGGCCTGCTCACACCTGCCCTGGTGATCTAACACCCCGGCGGGCCGGTTGCCTCGGGAGGGACCTCCTGCCTGGGGCAGACTTGTTCCATGCGCTGCATGAGGTAGTCCAGACAATTGAGGACCGCCTGGAACTGTTCATTGGTAACCAGGTTCTGGGGGTTCCTGGCTCTTCGTACCATGGTGTCCAAAGCTTAGGAGATCTTAAATTTGTAGTGTTTTAAGGGATCGTCTTAACAATGTTTCCCATAGACGGCGCCAATTGTTGGAACTTGGATTAGCCGAGGGCAACAAAGTAATTTTGCTCCCGAGATTCGAAGGATGGCCAAAGGGTTTGAGGGTCCGGAGGAGGTGGGCTGAGGCCGAGGTGGATCACTCCTTCGGATACGGTAGAGGCTGAGGGCTAGTACTGAGAAGGACGTTCGGGGAGACCGAAGTGCAGCTGCTCACTTGTGCATACAAGGGGTCTGGAAGGGCTCTCAGAAGTTGCTCTGCAAGGAAGAGAGTGTTAGAAGTCTCGGGTTGAAACCCGAGGCAAGGACTCCAATGGTCAAGTTAGTGTCGGCACGAGGTAAACAGTAAGTTTGGAGCCGAGGGATCTAGACGAGGTCTCAGATAGCACCAAGTCCTCAGGGGAGAGAATGTAAAAGGTCTCAAAAAGTTCCGGATCCCTTACCTTGTGGGAGGCGCCTTGCCTTTATAGTTGGAGCTGCCTAGGAGTGGTTGGGCTCGGATGGCCCAAATGCGAGCTGTACGAGGGCTTGCAAGATATTCCAGCGGAGGCCACGCGGTGCCCTGTGATTAGGCCCGCCCGGTTGTACCGAAGAGGTCCGTGCGTCCTTATGGCAACCCCATGCTGCCGCCCGTCATCCAACACGTGTCAGCCCCGTATTGGGGGAGCCGAATGCGCCTACGTCATGAGCCTTTTCTTGGTTAATTTTCTTTTGGGCCTAGGAACTAGCTTTTGGGTTTCTATGGTCCAGGAAATCATCATGTTTCAAGTATTTATCTTGGATTACTTGGACCCATGGTTATCTTTGTTTTACAGAATTTTCCAACCTAACTTCATCAAGTCGGCTTTATTGATTTGTATCAATTTTCTAACTCCTAGCCCACCTCTCTTTTTATTTGTATGAATTGAGTCCCATCTAGAACGGGTAAAGTACTTATTGTTTTGTTTCGAGCCCCAAAGAAACTTTCTTTAAAGTTTATCTAATACCTTTCCTTTAGTTTCCCTACATTTTCCTTCAAACCAAATATAACCTTAGGAAAGCCTAAGATACTCATTTGATAATAAGCCATGTTTCCAACTAATGAATTTAGGAGAGTTAATTATCCACCAAGGGATAGAGTTTTGCTTTTCCATCCTTCTAATTTATTTTTAACTCTCTCTCTCTCTCTCTAGTACCTCTCTGAAGGTGCTTTTTGTTACTCGTTGATTGATGATGGCCGGGGGTGCCTAGATTCTTTACTTGGGATGTCTTTAACTAGGTGGCACACTTCTAAGTTAACCTTGGCAAATATTAGGCAATTGTTTTGAAGTATTGGAATTTTAACAAATAGGTAGGGAGAGAATCTCCCACTCTTAAGCCTTGCTTGGTTTAAAAGAATTGGTCGGTGATTCATTTACTAGAACTTGATAGTTTATCATTTATATATTCCATAGTCCAACCTATCCAGTTACCGTAAAAGCTAAAATTTTGTATAAGAAGATAATCCCATTCTAATTTATTAAGTAGCAGACCTTGCTTTATTTTTACTCTTTCTCATTGACTGAAAAATCTCATGATCTATTTTAGGCTATTATCTGTGATTTTTCTATCAGGCATAAATGCTAACTAATAGGGGCACTATTTTCTCAATGATAGGCTTTAGCTTATTGACAAGAATTTTTGCAATTATTTTATAGATTACATTATGCAAACTAATTGGTTAGTGGTGGTATGTCTTATCCGGGTTTCTATTTTTTGGGATAAGCACCAAAAAATTTTGTTTAACTCTCTTGTCATTTTTCTAAAATGAGAGAAAAAAAGCGTTTGCCATGCTGATGATGGAATCTTTAATGATGTCCTAATATATTTTGGAAAAACCCATTTTGAGTTCGTCTAGGCCTGAGGTTTTTAAGTCACCTATTCAATTCAGAGCTTCTCTTATCTCTTCAACTTCTCTTATAAGCAAAGAGTTCTCAACTTTAGAAATCGACATATTCAAAACATTTAAAAATGGGAAAACCTATGATACAGACAATATATGATATAGAAAGAGTTTTGACCAATCAAAACCCACCCATGAATTTTGATAAATAACACCTGATTCGCTACCATATTTATGATCCTAGTTTATTGGTCAATTGTTTTTGGATATCATATCTTTTTCATATCAGAGCTGAACCTTTTAAAAATTCCTCTTTTCCTTGTGTTCTTTCACTGCTTAGCCTTTGGATAAATGAGTTAGTTAAGATGTTCTTAACTTGGTCCACCTCTATCACCCAATTATTATTAGCATCCTTGAGAGTAGCATGGAGTGGCCATCTCTAACTATTAAGTTATGGCCTAGACTAATTGAAATTTTGGTATCACTTGAGTGGTTGACATTAATATGTTAATCTTAATAGTCCACTTTTAATGGCTTAGATTCATGGATTTGAATTCATAACATTATCATCTTGCTTTGATATTCTTATTCTATTCCACCAGTTCGGGACATTATCATCTTCTCTTGGTTTTAAGCTTGCCTTTCTCCATAATTGCTCATCATATATATTTATTTTAATTTGTGGGATGACTTCAATTTTGGAAATAATATGTATGGTACTAAAATTCATTTAACCAACATATATAGTGCAATTCCTGGTACATGAATAATTAATTTATTCAAATCAAACAACTCTATTTTTCTGTGGTATAGCCTCTAAGCTCCAAGTCCAAGTGCAAATAGGTTTACAATTACTGTAGGGTCCCTTTGGTTCCAAGAAACAGAGGTCTAGAATTGGAATTCCTACTGTTTGGTTGGGTGGAATCAGAATCCCATTCTCATTTTTTATGGAAATGACATTCTCCTATTTGAGGGAATGGTTATTCCCCCCCCTTCTTTGAGAATGAAATTCAATTCCAGCTGTTTCTAATTTCCATTTTAATTCATGTCTGAACCAAACAGACTATGGGAATAGGCCCTTCTAATTCTGCTTTCGAGGGATTTTGATTCTGATTCTAACCATGAACCAACCAAACCCTTGGATATTTATAAGATAAGTAGAAATAACAAAAATAATTTAAACACTAATAATTTGACAGTGAATATAACTTTTAAATAGGAAACACGATTCATGTGACAGACCCATATTTCTTATAATATGGCATGACAACGAAATATGCATAGTAATAATAGAAATGAGTGAAACTTAGCTTAATATACTCATTATTTTACATTAAATTGTCTAACATTTATCAACTTTTATTCATGGATTCTAACTAAGTCTGAAAGTATCCATACCTTGATGCGACTTTTGTACATCTATTAATGATTGAAACTTTTAAAAGAAAATTAAACTCTTAATAAAGCATGGATCAGTGGCCCTGAATATTTCACCTTGATTTATTTCAGACAAAATTCAGAGAATTTAGAATATAATAAAATACCTAAATAAGAATTTTGGAATATTTTGGAATAGCTGATATTTCAATTAAATAGTTTCATTATTAATAATTACAAAATTTCAATTCATTTGTTGGGAATCAAAATTACCAAAACGGTTCAATTCATATTTCTTACAAGTTACATGCGCCACTCATCTACCTTCTTATCCAAAACGGAGTTTTCCCGGGTTCTAGATACGTGTCGGCAGTTGCCAGCTGGCACTCGGCAGTTGCCAGCTACGGGACCGCCGGGACATGTTAATCTGGTACTTGGTGCATTACCAAATCGCACCTGCCGGAGATGCTTCTACGGTTTTGTCATCTGCAACAAAACGATGGACCACCAGTTCGTCGTACACCCAGGGGCCCGTAGAAGTGTAATTGGGCCGTGCCATGCCGATACGATAAGATTTTGCGGACTCCCCGTGCTTTAGTGGGCCGTGCCGTGTCAGTACACGGGCTTGGGTGGACTATGCTTGGCGAAATCCTTCAAAGGTCAGATCTGATATAGCCTCAGGTGGGCTTGGGTTATGTTGGGCTATGGGCCGAGTTGTGAGAAATATATTATTTAAAAAATTTTAAAATAAATTAATAGAAATAGACAAAAATAAAAATAAATCTTAAAATTTTATTTTATATGAATTTTAATAATTATATTTAACCCGCTGAACAACCAAAGCATTCTGTTAAATCTTACTCGTGTGTGTGCATGTGTATATGTTGGCTTATGGGCCTTAAGCCTGGCATCGGCCCGTGAACAGGTTACGTTGTCGTTTGTAACACCAAAATCAAAAATCAGGAACAGTTAGATCACCACACATCATGACATCAGCATAATTTCAACTATAAGCTCCCCAGATGGACGGTAGATACTCGGTTCATCCACTAAGACACAAACTCTGCTTTGACCGAGTCAAAGATCGTCGGTGCAACGAAGACGATCTTGGTAGTTGGTTGCTTTCCGGTTTCCGGAACAACAAACAAAGCCTCAGCAAAAACTTTACAAGTAATCCGAAATGGAGAAAACAAACTAAGAATCTACGGCAATAATTGTAGATGACAAGCAAAGAGATTAAAACCCAACGATCACAGAATTACCGTATAATCCTGATTCCTGACTGTCACTGTTAAGTTGGTTGGTCGATCACCGTATTAGCCGTATAATCCTGACTGTATAGTTGGTCTGTTTCAAGTTGCAACCGATCGATTTCTGAAAAGGGTGAGGGTAGTTTCGCCATTGAACAATTGAGGGGTTAAATGGAAACTGAAAAAAACAGATTTTTCGTTGGATACGGTGTCGGTGTCTCGTTCGGCACCCATTTACAAGCTCTCTCTTTCTCTCTCTCGCTCGCTCTTACAGCTTTCAACCAGGTTAAAGTCTGCCACCAAATCCAGCTTCCCCACTCGTCCATTAGCTCTTCTTTCCCACCGATTCTGAAGCCGGAGAAGGTTTGTTATTGGTTACATTGCTTCCAGATCATCTTTATCTTCTCCATTTAGTTCAGGGAGGAAGGTTGCAGGCTTACAGAAAGCGATCGATTTTGTGTCATTTGAAACTCTGTAAAGTAAGCATTATTACTATTTAGCTTCCTAAACCTCCATTTTCGTTTCCATCCTGCCAATGTGTTAGTTTTCATAGTGATCTAACTCTAGAAATTTGCTTCTTCTTTGGCTGTTGAAGCACAGCATCTTTTTTTCGAGAGAGAAAATCGCAGAGATCTAATGGGAGGTAAAGAGAAATCCAAGGGATACTGTGGATGGTTAATTGCTTTCGTGGTCTTGGGAATCGTTGTCGCGGTGATTGTACTTACCGTAAGGCACAAGCATTCATCTCATAAACCGGTGCCTGCTCCTATTCCCGGTCCTCCGGGAGCCATCGAGAAGAAATATGCAGATGCCCTTGGAGTCGCAATGCAGTTCTTCGATGTTCAAAAATGTACTCCCTTTTCTTCCTATTTAACGATTTATTTATTGCTCCTCAATGTAGCCTTAGAGTTAGCAAATATCCTATGTTTTAATGCAGCGTTCCGTACATCCAGATCTATCATGTTATTTCCATGATTTTTCGTGTTCTGTTTTCTTTTCTCTATGTTTCTTGAGCTGATCTGGTGATTAGAGTATTATCCCATTAATAAAGAAGAATTAGTGGTTGGACTTCATATTAAACAATGTGGATCTGGAAACCAGTTTCCTTTGCGCAGAAGGCCATAATTGGTTGTATGTTTATTATAGTTGTAACTGATTTTTTATTTTTTTGATATTGCTTCTGAATAATAATTAATATACCAGTCAACCTTCAGATCTGAAGGCGGTTCCTTCTTCCTTTTGATTTCCTTCTCCACTTTAACTTTCTGTTCGTCATGCTGTTCAAATTCCGATCTTTTGTAGAGAAAGTAATTGGTTTATTTCCAATGCTGGGATTTGTTGACAATTTCCTGTCCTGCATAGAACATTGATGACTGGTTTCCAGCTTTTGTGTGTTCTGATAGTGATAGTGATGATTTTTGTATTGGGTTAGAGGAAAAGGATATGTGAGGAATTGATAATGCCTGTTCTTTTGCTTTATGCTTTTCTCTATTTCGTTTACGATCCTCCTTGACAGAAAGGAAGATGTCACTTCGTTTTTGCAGCTGGCAAGCTGGTAAATAACAAAATTTCCTGGAGAGGAGATTCAGCTCTACAAGATGGAAAAGAAAAGAAATTGGATCTGTCGAAGGGAATGTATGATGCTGGAGATCACATGAAGTTTGGTCTTCCAATGGCTTTCACTGCTACAATATTGTCATGGACCATTCTTGAGTATGGAGATCAAATGGATGCAGTGAACCAGCTAGAACCTGCTCAAGACTCTCTTAAGTGGATCACAGATTATCTGATCAATGCTCATCCATCTCCCAATGTGCTCTATATTCAGGTTAGCCAAATTTTTTAATCGTTGTGGTCAATAAAATCACTTGGGAAGAGACCCAATAGATGGTGTCATATAAAGCTGGCATGGATTAAGGAAATGCATAACCAATCCAGAGAGTGCCTCACATGATGAATGGTCTGAATTAGCCATGGAACCATAGCATCATTCTATGTTTCTGAAATATGAAAGTCTCCAGAGAAGATGCCTGAGTAATCCATTTAGGAAAGTTTTGGGCCTTTTGGCCTATATGTGCATGTGTAGACATTCTGTGTATCCATCTAGGAGGAAGAATGGTATCTAACTATCTATATTTGACCTTTTCCTGACCAACACCAACTTATGCAAATTATAGTCCATCATTTGATGGATCTCTAAATGCATTCCAGTTTGATGACTTAAAATTAAAACAAGGACCCACTAAAGGGTGTTATTATCTTTGGCAGGTGGGTGATCCTGATATAGATCACAAATGTTGGGAGAGACCTGAAACCATGGCTGAGAAAAGACCTCTCATACAGGTGAATACATCTTCACCAGGAACAGAAGTTGCAGCAGAAACTGCAGCAGCTTTGGCATCGTCATCTCTTGTTTTCAAGTCAATCGACTCAAAATATTCGAGTTTGCTTCTTAAGCATGCCCAAGAACTCTTTACTTTTGCTGACACTTATAGGGGTTCATATAGTATCAGCACCCCCCAAGTACAGACTTTCTACAATTCTACAGGATATGAGGATGAGCTCTTGTGGGCAGCTAGCTGGCTCTATCATGCAACTGGAGATGCATCGTACCTTAACTACGTCACGGTGCAAAATGGTGAAAAGTTTGCTAATTGGTTAAGTCCAACATTGTTTACATGGGATAACAAGCTTGCAGGAACTCAGGTAGAGGATCTGTACTAAGAGTGGTAACATTAATTCATATTTATTCTGCTCGTGAATTGAGTGTTATACTGATTTTTTCTTTAGTGTTAAGAATAAATTCATATGTTTTGTTTCAGTATTTGTTGAATAATTGTTTGGTTTCAAATAATATGAATAAAAAGTATTGTTTTTACCATGTTGCATTCAATCTTTTGTTCTTATCTTGCATTTCAACATTCTTCAATGCCTTTTTACCTTTGGTTGTAAATTACTTTTGATAAAGCAAAAAAATAACACAGTTGTCTTGTAGTTTGGAAAATTCCGGAATCTATTTCATTCCATAGAAAAAGCATAAAATTTATCAGATCCAAAAGAATTTACCTTGAATAGCAGCATTTTTAGAATTACTGGTTATTCATTTTAATTTGTGAATCCAGGAACCTTCCATCTAATATCATACTTTTTTTCTTGTCATGATGTCATCCACTGGCATGATATTCTCCTATATCAATTTAGGAAGCTTCTTTCTCTGTTGGTTATTAGTTGAATATCATGATGAACAAATTGTTTATCTCTATGGTGGCTTATGAGGAATCAGATCTTCAGGCCAATAGAGGCATGTAAAGTAATTTTGTACTTGTGATGTCATAATGCAATAATATAAATTGGAATCTTTCTATTTGATCTTCATCATTTACTCCTTCCCTTGCTTTAAATAATTGCTTCTCATTATATAGGATGGATACAACTGTCTTTGAAAATCTTAACCTAATTAATTTATCAAAAAAAAAACCTAATTACCAATAAAAAAGCAATATTGATTAAAAAAAGGAAAAAAAAAAGCAATGATCATCTTGATGCTGATATGTATGTCTAGTTTAGATGTTCGTTTTTGCTATGTTTAACATTTCTTTCAGCATTTCTTCTTTATTTTCTACAGACTGGGCCAATGGTTGAACCATTTAGGCTGCAAACCTCCTGGCCAAGTAGCTCTATGTCCAGTCCATCTTTGAGAACATTGATCCACTATTCATGTTCTATTTGTTTACAGAGTTTTGCAAGACCATGTTAAATTATATGGGACTCCACTGCTAATATTTGTTAAATATCAATATTGGAGCAGGTTCTATTGTCCAGAGTAAGCTTCTTTGGTGCAAAAGAGGTATCAGATGAAGAGAACCAGGGCCTCCACATGTACAGGAAAACTGCTGCTGCTATTATGTGTTTTCTTCTTCCAGACTCCCCACGAGCCACACACAGTAGAACAGATGGTAATTTCAATTCTGATATTATACTTGAGATTTCCTCAAAACCAAACACTATTCTGGTATTTGATAATGGCTAAAAATAGGCACTGAAAGTGGAATGTGGAGCTATGTTACCCAGATATGGCAAGGACACTGCTGGATACAGTATTGGATGCCAAATTTCCACTAAAAATTTAAGTATCCAACATGATATGGAACCCATATATGGGTATCAGGGTATCATAGATCTGAAAATGATTCCAAACTTAAAAACAGCTTGCATCCTGGGGTTTTATTAGAATATGATAAAATTCATCCTGAGGTATTGTTAGCATATGTTAAAATTCTTAGCAGTAAAATAGTCACCCCAATGTCTGTGCTTCATAGTTTCATAGATAAGTAGGTCAGTGGTTACTGATAATTCTGAATGAGGCATTTTTACATTGGCAATCTTTCCTGCATTCCGTTTGCAGTGCCTATTTCAGCAATTAGCAAACACCACCAATTTCTTGGGTCCTCCTGCATGAGGATAACGTGTATGGAAAAAGTAGAGAGGATTTTGCCATTCAGCTATCCTAGTCAAACTAGTTCTCATCAGAACGTCTTGCAAGTTGTGTCATAACTCCAATACCTTATGCATAGGCTTTCTTTATTTAGAAAGATGCTTACACCCATGCATAGAAGACTACTTACAGAACCCGTTAGAGAAAGTGATTTGTAACAAGTTGAAGGGACTAGAAGAGCTAGGGGCAGACCCCAAAGGACTTGGGTGGAAGTAATAAGAAATGATTTAAGAACCTATAGTTTAACAATGAATATGACACTGAACAGAACAGAATGGTGAAGCAGGATTCATGTAGCTGAACCCATATGCTTGGGTCTTGGTACAAGGCTTAGATGGGATGATGATGATGACAGATGCTTACACCCATAACTAATGGTCCTTTTCTCCTTATCAATTTATGCTTCTTTTTTTAATCCATTGAACCTTTGAAGTGTTTAAATCCTCCAGTCAGTCTCCAACTCATCTAACACTAAGGTGTTAACCAGAATGTTATGGGTTGATTAGTGCACAAAAGTACAGTATTGATTAATATGAGTGATGGATGTAGAGATCATCATAATATGGATGCATTGTGCAATTTTCCTTGTGAGCAGATTGGTTTGGAGAGTCATTCTTCTGTAGTGGATTCGTGATATAAGTCCCACCCAGTCATTATTACTATGTATCTGGTTGTGGACCTTGTGGTCCACCAGAACTGCATTCACTTGACTGATTTACTGTAACGATCTTGTTCTCATAACTTCCATAAATTCCTAAATGGAAGTCTCCTGCAGGTTAATTTGAAATTGAAACATCCAATGCCCTTTCTATTATCTACATTTTCACTGTTGTTATTATTTACACAGGTGGCCTCCTATGGTTTAGTGAATGGAACTCTTTGCTGCATCCTGTTGCTTCTGCATTCCTTGCTGTTATTTATAGTGATTACATGCTTATGACCCAGACAGCAAGCATAACCTGTGGTGGAGAAGCCTTCACACCAGCAGATCTCCGAAACTTTGCCATTTCACAGGTATGTTTTCAGCATTCTTCCACACATCAATAAGATCTATTTGATGCAAGGAGAGGTTTTTGACAAGGCTTATACTTTTGTTTCCCCTTTCTTCAGGCTGATTATGTCTTGGGAGACAATCCACTGAAAATGAGCTATCTTGTTGGTTATGGTAGTAAATACCCAAAATATGTACATCATAGAGGTGCTTCCATTCCAGCTGATGCGGATACTGGTTGCACTGATGGGTTTAAGTGGCTTAGCTCCTCCAAACCCAACCCAAATGTTGCGATGGGTGGACTTGTCGGTGGACCCTTCTTAAATGAAACATATATTGATTCCAGGAACAATTCAATGCAAGGGGAGCCAACTACTTACAACAGTGCTCTCATCGTTGGCCTCCTATCGGGCTTGGTCACCACATCCTCTGTCGTCCAGTCTTTCATGTAAAAGAAGCTGTTAATTAATCTCTTATGTTGTATGAAATATGCATAAGATGGATTGCATTCGGTTCCTGCCTCATTAAGTAGCTTTCACAGAGCAGTATATTATACAAGCAAGGACCACGCCATGTTAGGAGTGTTGATGTGCTGAGTTAGTGAACAAGAGCTTTGGGGTTTGTTCTTCTACTCAGTACCCACTGGATCTTGGGCTGTCTATATGGTGGGTCAATCAGGTGGTCTTGAGCATGATTTTAAGGCTTAATATGGAAACAATCTGCGCAATTGGGACTGATGATTTAGCTCAGTAGAGTAGACTCCTAAAATTTGCGCTCAAAAGGGCCCCTGCTGAAAGGCTGAGAAGATGGTGCATTCAATTTCTTCATTTCTGTCCAGGATTTCTAAGTATTTTATTTGTGAAAGCTAGTGTTGAATTCTTAGTTTAATTTGACTGATGATATGGATTCATGAGTTAAAGAAGAAAAGTTATTCTGTTAGTTTTTCTTTTCTTTACTTGTACTTCTATAATAAGGTGAGCCTTAAACAAGATGGATGTGGATATTGTATGCATCGTTGAGTATTGTTTTATTAAATTGCAAGAGCAGCCAATCCAGCTTGTTGGCTAATGGTTGTGTTTGGGATGGGAATGGACTTGACTGCATATCCTGGGTTAGTGGATGAGTTCTGGAATCCAGACTGGGTATTGGGCCTAGAGAATAAGGGTTTGCTCACGCATGAGGTCTAACTGGAGCACCAGCATCTTTTTCATACATTGTAGGGCTTGAGCTTGGAAAGACCTTCACACAGCCTGAACCTGGTCCTCTAGCACTGCCAAGAATTTGGCTGTTTGGGAGCTTCCTACATGTTTCCATGGTGTGGGATAAAAGAGTATTTGCAACTAATAAGGCAAACAAAGAATTCAATTGAGGGCAAACGTGTCATGCGTAGGAAGCTCCAAACAACCCAGATTTTTCTTTTCCATTCTCAACCTGATTAGTTAAAAAAGGAGGCAGAGTAGGAAAAGCCTTTTTCGTCCCAAATAAACAATAATCGACCTTCATATTATGGAAAAGATAAAGAAAGGTAGGAAAAGTAAGGTTCAAAGTATGATACAGGGTGATACGCCAATAAGGCATTGGCCTACCGGTTTAAGGCCGGTCTACCCCTGAACCATTTGCCGATCCGAAACACCCCCCCTGTAGGGTTGTATTGGGAAGGCTGTAATACAATACGGCCGCTACATATTGTATATCATAACAGACTAATGTATTGTATATCATCGGGTTCAGGATCTGCCACCTTTTTGCGTGTAAAATAAGTAAATAAATGATTCAACCTTCCTGCCTCATATGGGAATTGGAAGCTCTTTGACATTTGATACAATTTATAAAATTTATTAGATCAACACAGAAAAATGAACTCTCTGTTTTGTTTGACTATATTTTGTACCATGAATGAGATACTGGGACTGGGACTGGGTGGTGTGTGGCATAGATTATCAATCCACACTACACCATTCTCTACAGATGTATTCATTCCATACATATACAACTTGTATGATTTACATAGTTGATCATGAATAAAAAAATTATATTTTAAATACAAAATAAATAGGAAAAAATAATACAAAATAAATAGGAAAAAATAATACAAAATAACAATGGTTAAAATAAAGCATTAATGTGTAATTACTAATAAATATAAAGAATTCAATGTTTAAAAAAATCATCATAATATTATATTATCTTGCAATATTTAAAGTTACTATAATCCAAATAAAAGTTAATAACAAAGGAATGAAAGTTATTAACATTTATAAAAAGAATAAAAAATCATTATAATAATTTACAAAAAATAGTAATAAGACACCGTTAACCATGGGAAACACCAAAAATCATTTCACCATTTCAAACAAAAACTTTGCCATTGAAAACACCAAAAATATTGAACCAAACATTAGGTAAACTATCAATAGTTAAAACATACTTGACTGAGAGAGGTGGATGGGGGTGATGCAATGGTGGTTGACATGAGATGCTCCCTTAACCGGTGGAGGAGAATGGTGACAGAAATGGGATGGAGCTACGGCTGAAGAGAACAAGTTTCGGGCATGATTTTAGATGGACAGCAAGATAGATGAGAGAACTTCACCATACCTATTCGAGATCGGTGGGGGATACCAGCATAATGGTGGTTCTATGGTGGTGGTCTAGTGGAGGAAAGTGTCAGAGTTGAGTAGAATTCCCCTATCTAGTATTTGAGAATGGTGGAGTAGGGGCACAATCGAATCGAGTCGAGCTGAACAGTGGCATATCTTGGCTTTGATCGATTAAATACTACTAGGTTTTAGTTAGAGCTTGAGTTTGACTCGAACTATATTTTTTTTGTTTGACCTAGTTTGATTAAATATTCAATGATCTTGAGTTTGGCTCGAAAGCTCAAAAATGAATATATTTATATAAGACTTAATGAGAGGGATTTGAATGAGAATAAAAAGTGGTTGTTCAAATTATATTTTTGTTCTTACAATTAAAGATGAGTCAAATTCAAAAATTAAGGGTTCTACACTATCATTCACACTTTTAATAATAGTATAGGTTTAAGATTAATGAAATATTAAAAGACAAAATAGCCCTTGGTTATTTTTCAAAATTTCAAGACATAATAAGGGACAGTTGTCATTACAGGGCATGCTTTTAATGACATGATAATAGAACATATCTTCATTTGTTTTAAATTTGACAAAACACCTAGTGATCTGTTATTTCCTTGGGTGGGATCACTAGGTATCCATATGTTATTGAATGATAGTAAGAAGATGGAAAACTTGGTAAAATTAGTGACACATGGCAAATATATGCCAAGTTTGATATCCACATATGTGGCAAAATATATGCCATGTGTCATTAATTTGTGCCACATGGCATAATTATAAGTTATATGACATTTTTACTCAGTAGTCAAGTGAGACCATGGTTGTTGTATCTATAGTGCTTGGGTTCAAATCTTCATATTCTCAAAGTATTTTAGGATTTATTTCAAGGCAAATTTGGTTCTAAGGTCGGTTCCACAAATGGTGAAACCAAACCTACCTAGTAACAAATTGGCTAGGGTTGATTAAGGTCAGTTCCAAGTAGAACCTACCCATTTGCTGACCCTTAACTGCAACAATGGTTATGACATGTGTAAACTTAATAGGGACTAACTCATTTGATGTACAAATTAAGGGGGTGTTTTTTACTATAGCCACACAAAATGGTGGTGTGTTTCAAGTTATTGGGCCCTAATGCAGTGAATTAAAAATGGTAGGTTTTGGAACTTACCACACCTTTGGTAATGTGGTTTATTCCAAAGCATTGGGGTTTGAGATATAAATATTTTTGTCAAAATATGTTATATCAATGTCCCAAGGTGTGGTGTGTTCTAGAACAGGAAATTTTGGTGAGTTCTAAGATTTGCAATATTTTGTGTTCTCAGATAGTTTTAGAATACTAAATACACCACAGCTTAAAAAAAATGCATGTTTGTCATGACACATTCTAGAACCAAACGAAATGCAAGTCTCCAGCCTCTTTGAATAGCTTATTCGGAGCACTTCAAAGCAGTTGAACTAGTTAGTTGAATCTCTTGCTCAACCCTCCCAAATGGGCCCTAAAATAAACTGTGTTTGTTGACAATTGGCTTAGCTAGTTAAGGAGTCAGTTAATCAAGACAAGGCACTCCAGGTAAGCATTCAAAGATGTTGATGCACCCTTTCTCTGGATTTTTCACCAAACATGGCCCGTAGACTATCCATGTGGGCCCCACATATGGACAACTAGAAGTCAGTGCACTTCGGCCCTCCTAAACAGGCTTTCCAAGGTGGCCCTACACAAACAACCTTTAAGCTATGTTTGGTGAAAATTCTAGAGAGCACAAATCAGTTGTAATTCATTTTTTAGACTGTCTACTTCAGCCTCTTTAGACAATTTATCTGAAGTGCATCAAAGCAACTAACTTATCTGAACTTCAATTTAGCTGGCTCTGTTGCTTTGAAACACTCCAAATAAGTTATTCAAAGAGGTTGAAGTGGACAACCCTTGAGGCTGTGTTTGGTTTGAGGGAAAAAGTAGGGAAAGGAAGAGAAATCTATACCAAAAGTCATTTCACTACTTTTTTTCCTCAAACCAAACACCAAACACCAAACACATCCTACGTGACTAATGACAACCAATTTGGGCTCTCTAGACTTTTCACCAAATGATTATGAAATATGGTCGTTTACTAGAACACCCCCTATAGTTTCATGGATTTATTTAAACCTATTCTATAGTTTTTATTTTACTAAAACACCCCTATAGTTTGCAACCTATTTACTTAATCGGCCTTTCACTAAGAAGTTTATTTTTTCATATGAAAATAGTAACATTATAACCTAAATTGAGTGGAAAATGTTCAAAAGTACCCCTAATACTTCTTCATACAAAAAACAAAATTGATCAAATAGAGCCAAATATAGTGGTTTCTTATATCTTACTAGGGGCAAAAATGGTATTTACATTTACATTTTCATTCTTATTGAATTTATTCAAATGGACATTAGGGTTAAAGTTGTCATTTGCCACTGTTATCTAATGAAAGATCGATTAAGTAAACCGATTGCAAACTATAAAGGGTGTTTTAGTAAAACAGAAACTATAAGATGGGTTTTAGTAAATCCATGAAACTATAGGGGGTGTTTCAGTAAATGACCGAAAAAAAAGAGAAGAAAAGACTTTTCACCAAACATAGTTTAAAGGCTGTCCATGTTGTGTCCACCTCACAAAGCCAAAACTGTAACACTTCAAGGCTGAGCTATAAAAATTCAGCTAAGCTGGTCCAACTGCTTTGAAACACTCCAAATAATCCATTTAAAAAGAGGGTAAAGTGGACAACCCTTCAAATGATTGACCAGCAGCTAATTTGGGTTCTCTTGATTTTTCACCAAACATAACTTATAGGGCTGTCTATGTGGGATACACCTTGGAAACTAGAAGAAGCCCTTGCGCATCAGCCCTCCCAATACCCAATTAGGTTAAGGTTAAGGTTAGATTAGAATTGATAAGGGGTGCAACTGGGGTGGTTCCAACCCATAATTTTACATGGGCTGGGCTAGGTTTGGGCCCAAAAGTTTGGGCTGGGCCTGGACCTAGTATTTAGGAGGTAATCTAAACCAGTCCGAGCTATATATATATATATATATATATATAAATTTAATGTGAATTGATTGAACAACCTGAACCTGAATCAAATATATCAAATTTCAGTCTAGATTAGACACTTGCACCCCTAATAATTGAGATAACCATAACTCAAGTTGCGTAGTTGATCTCAACTAGACCCAACCCAATCCGAGTTGCACTCCTAGTATTAACGATCATCCTCATAATCTATATACAAATACATTATCTTGATTTTCTTTTTCTTATTCTTATGCTTACCATCTAAAATAGTACAATAACTAGCAGAGAGGCCCCTACGTTGCAGGGGAAAGTGGAAGGTAAAACATTTTCTAAAAAAACATGTGTAAATAAGGGTGGAAAAAAATAATAGTTTCAGTAAAATCATAAAATAGTCAAGTTGTTTTCACTTTAGTGTTGGATGTCTA